TTTAATGAGGCCAGATGCAAGCTTATCGCGGGTTAAATGACAATCTAGCTCAATGTGCTTAGTGCGCTCATGAGCAACAGGATTCTCAGCAATCCTAATAGCAGACTGACTATCAGAAAACATAGCAGTAGGTTTATCAAAAAACAGGTCTAAATCAGCAAACAAATAATGTAACCACTGAATTTCACAAGTTAAATCAGCCATGGCCCGATACTCAGCCTCGGTTGATGAACGGGAAATGGTTTGCTGCTTCTTGGACCTCCATGAAATCAAAGAGCTGCCTAAGAAAACACAAAAACCAGTCGTGGACCTCCTGGAATCAGGACAACCTGCCCAGTCACTGTCAGAGAAAGCTTTAAGGGATAGATCAGTCTTTGAAGAGAAAAATAAACCACGGCCAGGAGAGCCTTTCAAGTAATGAAGTACTCTATGAGCTGCTGCCAAGTGAACATCAGTTGGCGCACTCATAAACTGAGTTAGTTGATGGACAACAAACGCAATATCAGGTCTGGTATTGCACAGATACAATAAACGGCCAACTAAACGTCTATAAATAGCAGGATCATCCAAAAGAACACCAGATTTAATGGAGAGACGAACACCAGGATTACAAGGGGTAGCAACAGGCTTAGAACCAAGCAGACCAGAATCTTTCAACAGGTCTAGCACATATTTACGTTGATAAACAGAGATGCCTGTTTCATTTCTAGCTATTTCAAGTCCTAGGAAGTACTTAAGATTGCCTAGGTCTTTAATTTTAAAAGCATCATCAAGTTTTTGTTTTAGAGACTCAATTTCACTAAGAAAATCACCTGCCATTATAATATCGTCAACATATACCAAAACAGCAAGGAACTTACCATCCTGATGTTTAGTAAACAGTGAATAATCAGCTTTGGATTGAATATGTAAAGCATCGATTTCCAGATCCATAGCTGCATTCCATTTGTCGTGTTGGGATGCTTCTTTGTAAGTCTTTGGACAAAAAACTGTAGAAACAGCTAGAGCAAACTTGGAATGGTGGTCAGCAAGCTTATTAGTGGATAAAACAGAAGATAATGGATAGGAAACTCGTGAATCAACCACTGAGTTGCAAATGTAATCACAAAATTTAAGAGGCTGTTGTCTCTTTCGTGCAGGACGAGGTTCTGGTTCATCATCAAAAGATGGAGGATACTCAGGAGGAGCAGCACCATCATCATCATTTGAAGAATCAGAAGAAGGAGAGGGGATAGGGGAGATATGTTGGTCGGGTGCCGAACCGGTAGATGTCTCTGGATTACCACTAACATCATGAGATGCAATGGTATCCATTGAGGAGACAGAAATAACAGGAAAAACAAAATCATGAGAAAAAGCATTGGAAAAGAAAGGAAATATCTTTTCATGAAAAACCACATCACGAGACTCACACAGTGACTCGGTAACTAGATTGTAGAGTTTACAACCCTTAGTAGCAAAGGGAAATCCTAGAAACACACAAGGATGGGCTCTAGGGTCAAATTTAGGACGATTATGTGCTAAGGTAGACATGTAAACTAAACAACCAAAGACACGAAAGGTTGAATAATCAGGAACAGAATGGTGTAACAATTCATAAGGAGACTTGTTATCTAACACAGGAGTAGGGAGTCTATTAATTAAGAAAGTGGCATGTAAGACACCATGACTCCAAAACTTAGAAGGAAGGAAAGACTGGAATAACAGAGCACGAGCAACAGCAATGATATGCTGCTGCTTACGCTCCACCCGACCGTTTTGTTGTGAAGAAGCAACACATGTGGTTTGATGAATGATGCCTAAAGAACTATAAAATGCAGGCATGTGAAACTCAAGTCCATTATCAGAACGAATTACTTTAGGCTTAAGATTATACTGAGTTTGAACATGATTAATAAAGAAAATCAGCAAGTCACGAGCTTCAGATTTCTTATGCATCAAGTAAACCCAAGTATTGCGAGAGTAATCATCTACAATGGTCAAGAAATACCGATAACCATCAATGGAAGTAACACCATATGGACCCCATATGTCAATATGAACCAAGTCAAACAAAGCAAGGGAATGAGACTCACTTACCATGAATGGCAAACGTTTCTGTTTAGCCATGGGACAAACAGTGCAATGCTTAGATCTATGAGAAACAACATTAGAATCTTTAGACATAACAATGTTCGAAGGAGTACAAGAAGCATGTCCAAGTCTATAGTGGCTAATGTCAATGTCATGAATAGTAGTATCAAAGACAACAGAAAAACAACTGGAATCTGGTGAGGAAGCAGCGATTGGGGCAGGAAGAGAGTTGCTGAAGGTAGGTGTGAAGCAATAAAGCCCACCAGACTCTCTAGCTGTACCAATCAGCTTGCGGGAGACCAGATCCTGGATAATGCAGTGATCGTGAAAAAATGTCAAAGAACATGCTGTGTCTTTGGTTAACCTACTGACAGAGATCAAATTGAAGCCAAACAATGGAATATATAGCACATTCCTAAGTACTAACACATCAGTCAAGCAAACAGAACCAATGTGAGTAACTCGCACTTTGGCACCATTAGGAAGAGAAACATTCACATCATTGACAGCAGAATAATGACTAAAGTAATCTAAGCTGGAAATGACATGATCCGATGCCCCACTGTCTATGACCCAAGAGACCTCAGTTTGAGGCAAATGACCATTAGCAAGAACATACTTACCTCCAGAGGAGGAAGGTGCAGAAGAATCAGAAGCACCTCCAGTTGTTGTAAATGCATTGGCCACTGGGACATGTGCAACAGGTGCAGAAGACTGACTCGAGGAAAACTGCTGAGCAACAAGAGCTCGGTACTGCTGCTGTGTAAGTACAACTGAATCGGAGTTCTGAACTCCGTTCTCAAGAGAAACAGATACATCAGTAGCTTTAGACTCACTAACTACAGCATTAACCCTAGCTTTCCCTTTGTAACCAGGAGAATAACCATGCTTCTTAAAGCATTTGTCAACAGTGTGACCAGTCAATCCACAGAAAGTGTAAACAGGACGTTTAGACTGACTCTTAAACTGACTGTTCTGAACAACACAAGCCAAAGGATTGACACTAGCAGAAGTAATCACTCTGTTCTGACGCTCAAACTGTACAACAGTAGAGAAAACCTTGTTGATTGGAGGAAGAGGATCCATCAACAAGATCGAGGAACGTACAGACTCAAAATCATCACCAAGACCCCTCAAGAACCTAATAATCTGGTCAGACCTCGCATACTCAGCACAAGAACACTTAGGGACACAAGCACAGGACTTAATCGGCCGATAGGTCATCAACTCATCCCAAAGAACCCTAAGCTTAGTGAAGAACTCACTTACAGACATGTTACCCTGCTTGAGTGCGAACACCTCGTCTTGAAGGTCAGCGATGCGAACAAGATCTGCGATGCTGAAGCGCTCGCTCAGATCTCTCCAAACTTCGATTGCGGAATCGAGCCAGAGGACGCTCTGACCGATATCTGGAGCCAGAGAGCGAAGAATCCAGCCGAGCACCATCGTATCGCACTGTTGCCAGGCGGTGTAGAGAGGATCGCCCGGTGGCGGCGTCGGAACGGCTGGATCGATGAAGGCGAGCTTGTTCTTCGACAGAAGACCGAAGCGCATCGATCTCGCTCAGGAGTGGTAGTTCGGCCCGGTGAGCACGATTGACACGAGCTGCGTCGTCGAGGAATCACCGGAGCTGATGTAGTAGGGGTGATTCGGCGCAAGCGCCGCTGCGAGAGGAATCGGAGGCTGGAACGAAGACGAAGAAGCCATCGTCGCGAAGACGAAACCCTAGATGGGAAGCGGAAGCGAAAGAAAGAAAGAAGTCAGAGAAAGTGCTCTGATACCATGTTATGAGAGAGAAACGGATCCAATTTTATTTCACCAAAGTAAAGTTTACATTGTTCAATATTACATTTATATATTAGTCTTATTCTACTCTATTACAAAACAATACACAAAGTAAACAAATATTACAATTTGGTCCTATCTATTCTATATACTAACATCAGAAAAGGAGTGCGAAACCTACGTTCCAAGAAGAAAGCAAAGATGAGAGATGCAACCTCAATAGATGGTGAAGGATTTTGCATTTTGTAGATGTTAGAAGAGGAATCTGAAAATATGAGTGGAAGAAAGTGACATGCATTCCACCACATTATTTTGGCAGGGGAACCTGGCTTTAACCCAGAACTAGAATTTCAGATTACATGTGCAATTTTTTGGATGAATTATTAGTTAGTTAGTTAGTTATGTGTTGTCAAACTAATTTGTAGTGACATGAGCTTGGCATATATAGTGATTGTTGTTAACTATAAGACAGATTGTTTGACAAGCAATTCTTGCCACTTTAGTAACTTTTTTACATTCATTATAATCACCAATCACAAATTTGCAACAGCATTGGTACATTCATGCAGTTTGACTACGGAAATTGTATCAATTTTACTTGGGTGAGTCGTGCGGTCAATCTTGTAATATGGTTGGCGAAGAAAATACATATTACTTATTTTGTCCGTTGTTTTTGTGCGATCTATAACGACGAGAAATTGGTAGCCGTCGTTTATAATACTAACCATAACCCCATTCCACAACGTTTGTCGTCCGTCATTAGTATATATCAACGACGGATTTTTACTACATCTACGACAAGTTTTACTGCCGTTAATAGATCATTTTCCTGTAGTGCCATTTGATAGCTAATGTGAGAAGAACTAGAATGAATTGGAAAAGCATTGAATGAAAAGGTGATATTCACTAACAACGAAGTTATAACTATGGATTGATTGAAGTTGTGCTCATAAATTAGCAAAAAGCAGTGGGCTTTTCTCATAAATCGAACCCTCCTTTTTTTTTTTTTTTGACAAAGCAAATCGAACCCTCCTTGAAGATGGCTTCTGGGTTAATTTCACAAAGTCACAGAATGAAGCTGTCCTTGAGCAATTAATTACAACTTGGTAAACTAATTTACAGAGGCCTCTCGTCTCGGGAGCTCATCTGCACCTCAGAACAGTCTTGATTCCCTGTCCCAAAAGCTGATGAGGAAGCAACGGAAAGTCAGCAGCAGCAGGGGATCTCTTGCTCTGTTTCTTGTCTTCTTGCCAACGTCTTTCTATTTCCCGCCGCAGGCCCAATACTCGTCCTCCTCCGACAACCGCCGCTCCACCAAATCCACCGCCATGACGATCCGCCGCCACGAAGGAATGCTCGAGAAACCGACGGACACACCAGCGGCTGTTGACATCCTTGGCGAAACACTTTCTGAGGAAATCTTTCCCTTCCTCGGACACCCACTGGGGAATCTCCGGCATGCCCCCTTTTGCGATTCTCCACTTCACCTCCTCCTTCTTCTTCAATTCGCTCCACGGACGCCGCCCCGTCAGCATCTCCAGCACCGTGCATCCCAGAGCCCACACGTCGACCGCCGGCGTGAGCTCGCCGGACGCCACCATCTCCGGCGACTTGTACCGCGTAGTCCCCCTGTAGTCCGCACTCCCCTGAATCAACTTCGATGACTCCACCGCCAAACCAAAGTCTGCTATCTTCAATTCCCAGCAAACCCCTGTTCCTGTTTCCCGCGGGAAAGCGAGGATGTTGTCTGGCTTTATGTCGCAGTGGACGTATCCGGCCCAGTGGATCAAATACAGAGCGCTGAGGATCATGCGGGTGTAAACCCTAACTTCGCTCTCCGGGATTCCGCCGCCGATCAGATTGGTGAGCGATCCGCCGCGAGCGTACTCCATAAACAAATTGTAGCTGACGGTCCCCTCTGTGTAGTCTTCGATAGGCTGATCGTAGAAGCATTGGATGATTCCGGGGGCGTTTCGGAATCTGGTGAGAATCTTGTGCTCGGCGAACAGAGTCGCGGCTTTGTCTTCCGCCGCGGATTTCACCGCCATAGTTCGTATGTTGGAGTTCATTAGGTGGGCTACGAACACCTCTCCGAAGCCTCCTTTTCCCAAGCGCTTTCCTTTTTCCCACTGCATCTTCACCGGCGACGAAGAAGCAGAGAGCGGAAAAAGGGAAGGAAGCAAAACCAGAGACAGAGACAGAGAGTAGACGAGAGGAAGGATTTCAGGTTGAGAATGGAGGAAAATCGGTAAGTGAGAGAGCTATATATTCACATATATAGTGGGATGAGATTTTGCCCTCATTCTTCAGCAGCAAGTAATTGGAACTGTGATCTGGCCGGAGATTTAATCCTTTTCCGTTTCGGAATCGGGAAGAAGAAGGAGACCAAGTCAACAAATTTTGACTTCTCCTTTCCTTCTGGTTCTCGGAGAAACCAAATGGGAAGCGCAAAGCAAACGCGGGCCTCACGGAATAAAATGGGCTGTGGTTCTTATCTAAGCCCAATAACAAAAATGTGATTCATGGCCCCGCTAATAAGACTAACTCCTCCCTCTTTATTTTTTTTTTGACAAAAGATAATCATGCATTGATTCAAAAAATAGACAGTTACATCCTGGAATTAAGCCAGACCTGAAAATCAAAGAAGCGACTCGTAGTCGGGTACAAAGAAAGGGTCTTCCTAGCCACCAAGTGGGCTACCCTATTACTATTCCGACCTATAAATCGCACACTAAAACCGGGGTAACTGGAGAAGCCCAGCCCTACTTCCTCCAAAATCGCACCCACTCGGCTATCCCTCACATCAGCGTGATTGACCTTATCAATGACCACCTTAGCATCCCCTTCAAAACATACCTCAGTGAACCCCTGCTCCAAGCACCACCTCAGGCCTTCACGAAGGACTAGCAGCTCCACCATCATGGGGTCATCCATATCCGGAAATTGGACCCCCTTAACCCGAAGGACCTCCCGAGTAGGGGACATGAGAACCAAACCACCCGCCGCATGAGACCCACACCTCGTAGCCCCATCCCACATACAAACAACCCCGGTCATCATCACCGGATCCAGAGGTTGATGTATCGGGGGAGGAGCAACTAGGGAGATTTTATCCACCGACAGGCGCACCCATTCCTCATACTGCTGGGAGAACTGGTGCATCAACGCAGGGATCCCAAATTGCTTCCCCTCAAAGACAACCCAGTTCCTGGAACGCTAGATCCTCCAAAGAACAGCAACCGTTGCCATGAAAAGCGTGGGCTGCTGAAGTAAGGCTATCAGCTTCTTAAGGAAAATGGAAAGGTGTGCCGAGGAAGTCCCTCACCCAGATACTCCAACCCCGTCTGCACCCATAACTCTCGCGCCACCGGGCATTCCAGAAACAGATGCTCCAACGTTTCCGGACTCTCCCAGCACACCGGGCATCGAGGGTGCACCTGGACTTTCCTACTAATGAGAGCTTCAGTTGTCGGCAATATTCGCTTGAGGATCTGCCAAACGAACACTTTCAGCTTGGGGGGAATATTCGCCTCCCATAAACGAATCCAGCTCGCTCTATCCATCCAGCTGGCCGTAGCCTTCCAACGCCCCCTCCTCCGATCAAGAGAGACTGCCAAATGATAAGCCGACTTAACCAAAAACCCCCCATCAGCAGTCTCATGCCAAACAAGTCTATCCTCCACATTTTGGCGCGGGAGGGGAATAGTTCTAATAATACGGCACGTGGGAGGGTCAAACCATTGACTAAGCTTGCTATCACACCAACGCCCCTCCTCCCCACCAATCAACTCAGCCACTGGGGGGTCACCTCCGACCGGCAAGACCATCGGATTATAACAAGGTGGATCCAAGTGAAGTTGAGGAATCCAGGGGGAATGCAACAGCGAAGCCGATCGCCCTTTCCCAATCTGCCATCTTAACCCCATCTCAAGCAGCTCGCGGCCAAATAGAATACTCTGCCACCCCCATGACGGGCGGGAACGTGCCTTAGCATGAAGGAAATGCCCATGAGGAAAATACTTACCCTTGTAAACTTGGGCTAGCAGAGAATCGGGTTCGAACAGAATACGCCACCCAATTTTGGCAAGCAGGGCCTGGTTAAACTGCTCGAACCGACGGAACCCCAACCCACCATCATGCTTGCTCCGACACAAATCCCGCCAAGCCATCCATCGAATTTTCGAGTGGCCCTCATTTGCTCCCCACCAGAAGCGGGCGACATGTTTATCCAGGAGACGATACAGAGTCCGGGGCAGCTTAAAACATGACATTACATGCAAAGGTAAAGCCATGGCAATCGATTTGATCAGAGTTTCTTTCGCCGCCCAGGATAAAGTCCTCCGTTTCCACCCCTGAAGTCGCTCCAGCAATTTCTCCTCCAGGTACCGGAATGTCTCCATTTTAGATCGAGCAATCAAAGTAGGAAGACCCAGGTACTTATCATGGACCCCTACAGCCCCCACCCCTAGAATCGCCGCTAAGAATTCTTGATCCTGAACCGCAATATTCTTGCTAAAACAGATCGCAGACTTTGCCAGGTTAACTCGCTGGCCACTCAACTCCTCATACTCGTTCAAAACTACTACCAAGTTTTCACATTCCTGGAGCGTACCCCGCAGAAACAAATACGAATCATCAGCAAAGAACAAGTGCGAGATCCGTGGGGCACGCGGAGCCACTTTAACCCCCGCCAGGCGTTTCTCAGAGATCGCCTTACGCAGGAGAGCCGCAAACCCTTCCGTGCATAACACAAACAGGAGAGGGGATAGCGGGTCCCCTTGACGCAGCCCCCTGGAAGGAGTAAAATACCCCGCAGGGGAACCGTTCATAAGCACCGAGAAAGACGAGGAACGAAGGCACTCGTGGACCCACCCTTGCCAAATTGAGTTAAACCCCATCTTATTCAAAACCGCAAGTAGAAAAGGCCATTCGAATCTATCATAGGCCTTTTCCATGTCAACCTTTAGAGCCATGTACCCTTTCTTCCCCTGCGTTTTGATTTTCAGGTAATGCATTAACTCGTGGCCCAGGAGAATGTTCTCAACAATTTGACGGTCTCGAATGAACGCATTCTGGCCTGCAGAAACGATGGATGGTAAGACAGTGGCTAGTCGTTCCGCCATGATTTTAGTTATAACTTTATAAAAAAAATTGGCATAAACTGATCGGGCGTAGCTGTCGCATCGATTCCACGTTATCCACCTTCAGGATTAACGTGAGCCAGGTATGGTTAAAGCTACGAAGCATCCGACTCGAAGAGAAGAACGAACACACTGCTTCAACCACCGAATTCCCCACAATCTCCCAGAAAGCCTTAAAGAATTTCCCCGTGAAGCCATTAGACCCGGGCTCCTGTTTTGACCCCATCGCAAAAATAGTTTTTCCCACCTCCTCCGGGAGCACAGCCGCCGTAAGAACAGCATTCATGTCCTCAGTGACACAACAATCAATCGGCAAATCGCCAACCCTCTCCCGCATATTAGGAACTTGATTCTCAGTCGTGAAAAGATGGGAGTAAAAATCAGTAGCTATATCAGCCTTCCCCTTCTCATCCGTGATCTATTCACCATCCTCATTTCTGAGCCCCGCCACAAAATTTCTTTTCCGCCGAGTTCTAGTCACAGTATGGAAGTAAGAAGTATTTTTATCCCCCTTCTTCAACCAGTGAACTCTCGATTTTTGCTGCCAGTACACTTCCTCCGCCTCCCACTGTCTATTCAGCTCCACCTCGAGATTACGGATCTCATCCCAATCAATCGGGAGAACTTGTTTGATCCTTTCAATCTCGGCTTGCAGCGTACGAATATTACGAAGGGAGTTGGTTGTGCCCGCTCTGCTCCAGTCATACAAAAGATGGCGGAGCCTCTTGAGACGGTCCCATAGCCGAAACATAGGAGTCCCATGGACCTCTTCCTTCCAAACATAGGAGACCATAGCTTTCACTTCCGGATTATCAGCCCACCGGGCATCAAATCGGAAGAGAGGTCGGCAATTCCGGACATAAGGTTTATCAGAGAGAATGAGGGCTCGATGATCTGAACCCTGATCAGTGAAATGTTTAACCAACGTATCCGGGAAACGGTCAAGCCAGGACTGGGAGCAGAGTGCTCTATCCAATCTCTCCCGAATACAAGCCGCCCCCATCCGCCTGTTCGTCCAGGTAAACTGGTCCCCCTGATAGCCAGGGTCAATGAGCCCTAAGGATGTAATAAACTCCTGCAAGCTAATGGCTTGCACAGCGTTCCATTGGTTCCCCCCCCCCCCCATCCTTTTCACTCTCATTAAGAGTAGTATTAAAATCACCTATGATAACATAGGGAACATGAAGACCATCACACACATCTTGAAGATGACCCAGCTGGGTTGCTCTGATAGACAGATTGCAACTTATGTAAACGAAGATCACCACATACGAAAAATCCATTTCATTAATACGAACACAAATACAAAAATTTGAATGAAAAAACACCGAAGCATTAACTTCTGGGGACCAAGCCACAACTAAACCACCAGATGCCTCAATCGCATCAACAAAAAAACAAGAAGAATAATCAAAACCTAACCCACGCAACCTGCGGGAAACTACTTTCCGTCTCGATCGAGTTTCAGAAAAAAACACGAGATCCGGCTTATTGGAATGAACTAAACCGACAGCTGTTTGGAATGTGAGGGATGGTCCAATGCCTCTCACATTCCAGGCCAGAAGCCTCATTTATCTGGGAGGGGCCATTCAAGGCTGGCTACCTCCACCTTCTCATCAGTCACCAACTCTTCCACAAACAATTTCTTGGGCGATGGGGCATCCCCAACCTCACCCTCTATAGCATCCAGGTTCCTCTTCCGATTCCCAATCCCTGGGTCAGCCAAATTCGATCCATACTCATAGACAGAGGTAGGGGGCACCCCTATCATCTCCTGGGGCAGGTCTATTGTGGCAACACCAGCGGATCCATTGTCCAGATCTCCAAGGACCAGACCATTCTCAAAAGCAGCAACAACTTTGTGTACATGCCCCCTGCGCGGCCCCTCGAGCACTCGTGGCACGTCTCCTCACTTCAAATTTCCCACCATCATCCTCCGACATAGAGTCATTAAATCCCTCTCCCAGATCCTCACACCCTAACCCTCCACCAAC